CGTGTGGATGGGCTTCAAACGGAAGGTTATGCAATGTAATGCCAACAGACAAGTCACACTGAAAGTAGCTGGCCAGTGCATACATGATTTCGCTCTGGTTTCCAAGAGTAACATGTATAGGTCCAGTGAACGTCCACCACTGCTCCAGTATAATATTATATATAATATAGTATAATATATAATATAGCTACATAGTGGTTCATTATCCATGCCTCTCTGTCTTTTCTCGTGGGACCTATAGGCTGCAGCTCAACACCAGGCCAGAACCTGGCTCGGGTTGCACGGCTCCTTTCATGGAGAGAGGGGAGAAGCCCCTGACAAAAACTCAAGCCGCCACTGGGTAGGGGCTTGTAATTAGCAATTAGCGGCTGGGTCCAAGTTTTGCTTTGGTCCAGGCCAAAGCCACAAAATGTTCTCCAAGTTTATAATACTTCGGCCTGCAGCAACGAGAGGAGAAAGCAGGCCCTGGAGGACGGGGGCGAACGCTCTGCTTCGCTGGGCCACAGAGTAAATTGACGAGATTATAATGACCCAGGGTGAACTGCCCCTCGCACAGAGCGGGGTACATCAAAGACAAGACAGCAAGTGGAGAGGAGTGCTAATTATGGTGTGTGTGTGTGTGTGTGTGTGCCACAGGAAGGCCCTTGTGTCCCCATCCTCCCATCTCTCTCTACAGCTCACGTGGCCCGGAGAGACCCAGCCCTACAGAAAAACCCCACTACTTTAAGACCAGAAAGGAAAACAGACTGTTGGATGGGATGGAAGTCCTCTGGTCAAGCACTGCAAAGTTTTTTGGGTAATTATTATTTATAGTCTGCGCATTGATAACGTCCCAACACAAACACAGCAGGGCATCATTCATTCTCCGAGCGGTGATGTTGCTCTGCCACAAATTGTTCAGACCACCGGCCAGAACTCAGATCCCCATAACTCAGTGTCAGAGTAGAGAAAAAAACCTAGTGCGCTGTAGCTGTGCACCGACCGCCATGTTTTTTATATCCCCAATAGAGAGGTGCATCCTTACTGCTCTGACAAGTTAGGAGGAACCTGGTATCTACATATGAATTTACAGTTATTTTAAGCCACAGCCCAGGCAGGCTCTGACTGGTGGCCAAACGGCACGTCAGACTATTTATACTTTGTGCTGTGCATATTTCCTTGTCTTCCACGACTGCTTCCACCAAATCAACCATGACTTGACAGTGGCAATATGCTATTTAAAACATTGATAATCACCTCCTAGAATATCACAGTTCTATTAAACAGATGTGTTTTACAAACCACATACTCTTACCCCAAACATTAACTGCATACTTACAGGTCATAGTGCCCCCAGCTATGTAATTCTCCTATTCAAAATTAGATATCTGATGCTGTTCACAAAACATACTGTATGTTAAAAAATAGATCCGGATTGAATATCTAATTCAATTTTATTACAAACCAATTTATTAAACAAATCAACCATAAGATATTAGGACTATGGACTACACCATGTAAATGATAATACACACACAGTAATCAACAGGCATCCCCAGGCAACTACCTCAATACCCTGCCCTATAGTGCCACCTAGCGGCTATTCAAACGCCATACCTCCAACAGGGTACATTACATTTGGCCTATCTTGCTGGGAAATACATGGAATAGCTACAGTAATCACAAAAAACACAATAGGAACAAAAACAAGGAGACAAATGGCACAGAACAATCCTGCTTCAGGTCTATGTCAGCTGTGTTAGTGTTTGGCTTCAGGTCTATGTCAGCTGTGTTAGTGTTTGGCTTCAGGTCTATGTCAGCTATGTTAGTGTTTGCTTATCGTGGTCATTACAGACCTATTTTTGTTGCTATGCTACTACTCTCAAATCAAATCAAATCAATTTTTATTTGCCACATGCGCCGAATACAACAGGTGTAGACATTACCGTGAAATGTTTACTAACAGCCCTTAAGTAACAATGCATTTATTTTTTTATAAAAAAATTAAACAACAACAACAAAAAACTGTGGAGAAAAAAAGAGAAGAAGTAAAATAAAATAACAGTAGGGAGGCTATATACAGGGGGGTACCGGTGCAGAGTCAATGTGCGGGGGCACCGGCTAGTTGAGGTAGTTGAGGTAATATGTACAGTGAGGGAAAAAAGTATTTGATCCCCTGCTGATTTTGTTCGTTTGCCCACTCACAAAGACATGATCAGTCTATAATTGTAATGGTAGGTTTATTTGAACAGTGAGAGACAGAATAACAACAAAAAAATCCAGAAAAACGCATGTCAAAAATGTTATAAATTGATTAGCATTTTAATGAGGGAAATAAGTATTTGACCCATCTGCAAAACATGACTTAGTAATTGGTGACAAAACCCTTGTTGGCAATCACAGAGGTCAGACGTTTCTTGTAGTTGGCACCAGGTTTGCACACAACTCAGGAGGGATTTTGTCCCACTCCTCTTTGCAGATCTTCTCCAAGTCATTAAGGTTTCGAGCCTGACGTTTGGCAACTCGAACCTTCAGCTCCCTCCACAGATTTTCTATGGGATTAAGGTCTGGAGACTGGCTAGACCACTCCAGGACCTTAATGTGCTTCTTCTTAAGCCACTCCTTTGTTGCCTTGGCCATGTGTTTTGGGTCATTGTCATGCTGGAATACCCATCCACGACCCATTTTCAATGCCCTGGCTGAGGGAAGGAGGTTCTCACCCAAGAATTGACGGTACATGGCCCGTCCATCGTCCCTTTGATGCGGTGAAGTTGTCCTGTCCCCTTAGCAGAAAACCCCCCCCAAAGCATAATGTTTCCACCTCCATGTTTGACGGTAGGGATGGTGTTCTTGGGGTCATAGGCAGCATTCCTCCTCCTCCAAACACGGCGAGTTGAGTTGATGTCAAAGAGCTCGATTTTGGTCCCATCTGACCACAACACTTTCACCCAGTTCTCCTCTGAATCATTCAGATGTTCATTGGCAAACTTCAGATGGCCCTGTATATGTGCTTTCTTGAGCAGGGGGACCTTGCGGGCGCTGCAGGATTTCAGTCCTTCACGGTGTAGTGTGTTACCAATTGTTTTCTTGGTGACTATGGTCCCAGCTGCCTTGAGATCATTGGCAAGATCCTCCCTTGTAGTTCTGGGCTGATTCCTCACCGTTCGCATGATCATTGCAACTCCACGAGGTGAGATCTTGCATGGAGCCCCAGGCCGAGGGAGATTGACAGGTCTTTTGTGTTTCTTCCATTTGCGAATAATCGCACCAACTGTTGTCACCTTCTCACCAAGCTGCTTGGCAATGGTCTTGTAGCCCATTCCAGCCTTGTGTACGTCTACAATCTTGCCCCTGACATCCTTGGAGAGCTCTTTGGTCTTGGCCATGGTGGAGAGTTTGGAATCTGATTGATTGATTGCTTCTGTGGACAGGTGTCTTTTATACAGGTAACACGCTGAGATTAGGAGCATTCCCTTTAAGAGTGTGCTCCTAATCTCAGCTCGTTACCAGTATAAAAGACACCTGGGAGCCAGAAATCTTTCTGATTGAGAGGGGGTCAAATACTTATTTCCCTCATAAAAATGCAAATCAATTTATAACATTTTTGACATGCGTTTTTCTGGACTTTTTTGTTTTTATTCTGTCTCTCACTGTTCAAATAAACCTACCATTAAAATTATAGACTGATAATTTCTTTGTCAGTGGGCAAATGTACAAAATCAGCAGGGGATCAAATACTTTTTTCCCTCACTGTACATGTGGGTAGAGTTAAAGTGACTATGCATAAATAACTAACAGAGTAGCAGCAGCGTAAAACAATGGGGTGGGGTTGGGGGTGGGGGGGCAGTGCAAATAGTCCGGGTAGCCATGATTAGCTGTTCAGGAGTCTTATGGCTTGGGGGTAGAAGCTGTTGAGAAGCCTTTTGGACCTAGACTTGGCGCTCCGGTACCGCTTGGCGTCCGGTAGCAGAGAGAACAGTCTAATGACTAGGGTGGCTGGAGTCTTTGACAATTTTGAGGGCCTCCCTCTGACACCGCCTGGTATAGAGGTCCTGGATGGCAGGAAGCTTGGCCCCAGTGATGTACTGGGCCGTATGCACTACCCTCTGTAGTACCTTGCGGTCGGAGGCCGAGCAGTTGCCATACCAGGTGGTGATGCAACCAGTCAGGATGCTCTCGATGGTGCAGCTGTATAACTTTTTGAGGATCTGAGGACCCATGCCAAATCTTTTCAGTCGCCTGCGAGGGAATAGGCTTTGTCGTGCCCTCTTCACGACTGTCTTGGTGTGTTTGGACCATGATAGTTCGTTGGTGATGTGGACACCAAGGAACTTGAAGCTCTCAACCTGTTCCACTACAGCCCCGTCGATGAGAATGGGGGCGTGCTCAGTCCTCTTTTTTTTCCTGTAGTCCACAATCATCTCCTTTGTCTTGGTCACGTTGAGGGAGAGGTTGTTATCCTGGCACCACACGGCCAGGTCTCTGATCTCCTCCCTATAGGCTGTCTCATCGTTGTCGGTGATCAGGCCTACCACTGTTGTGTCGTCGGCAAACTTAATGATGGTGTTGGAGTCGTGCCTGGCCATGCAGTCATGGGTGAACAGGGAGTACAGGAGGGGACTGAGCACGCACCCCTGAGGGGCCCCCGTGTTGAGGATCAGCGTGGCAGATGTGTTGTTACCTACCCTTACCACCTGGGGGCGGCCTGTCAGGAAGTCCAGGATCCAGTTGCAGAGGGAGTTGTTTAGTCCCAGGATCCTTAGCTTAGTGATGAGCTTTGAGACCACTATGGTGTTGAACGCTGAGCTGTAGTCAATGAATAGCATTCTCACGTAGGTGTTCGTCTTGTCCAGGTGGGAAAGGGCAGTGTGGAGTGCAATAGAGATTGCATAATCTCTCTACTCTGGAATTGTGTTATAGGGTGCTCCTGGACAACAAACACCAGGACTTTGGCTAGGTAGGTGCTGGTGGTGCCGTAACGCAGCAGTCTCATCTCCAGAGACAGCTCAAAGTCCTGCGGCTCAGTGATGGGCCGCCACAGCCATCACGCCACCAGAAGGCACTCTTTGAGCGCTGAAGAAGCTGCCCTCGTTGCCACCGACGATGGCAATCTGGACATGGTCTCCGGACACGGTGTTGGATGGGCCCATGCGAAAGACGTTGGTTGGCACAGGGATGTTGGTGGGGAAGGTGAGTTGGTAATAGGTTATTCTCAGAGGCGAGGCCAGGCATTCACTAGTCTGATTGCAAAGCAAGCGTTCACAAGGACAGTAAGGAAAGAGAGGGGCCAGAGACAGGACAGAACAAGACAAGACAAAGACGAACAGATAGAACAAACAGAGAAACAGAGAAAATAGAGAGGTATAAGTTTGATTTGCCGTGCATGGCATGCTGCTAGCTGGGTGGGGCTAGGTGGGTAGGGACAAAGTCACATCAGAATCAAGAGCCTCATGTGTTTCTGTGGAACGACATGTGTCACTCTGCCCACTGTAGGGTCATGCAAGAACATATCAAAGCATAGTATTACATTTCCTCATTCAACTGCCTGCATTAACACTGCATATAACAGAACATGCTTTAACTGAATCCTAACTGAAGCAGTATGCATCAACATTGGGCATGCACAGCTTCAATACAGAGGTAGGGGTTGGAGATGAGGTTGGGGTTGTCTATACACTGTAGAGCAGTGGCCGTAAAATAACTTGTGCCTGATCCACACTATAGGGCCGACCCTGAAGGCGCGCGTATCCCCCTCAGCAGATGGCCACCAGAACCTCCTACGCAGGAACTCCAACGTCCTGGCGCCCCCCGGATGGCTGATGATGTCGGACGTGTGCGCCCACTGAAGCAGTCGCGAGCGCGCAGCCTTGGGTACGTACATCCTCCCCGATGGACCTCCACCCGGATTGGGCTCCCGCCGTAGCGCTGCTCTGACCAGCCTATCGATTCCCCACGAAATTGGGGCAGCAATCAGGGCGTTGGGGACAATGGGGTCGAACTGCCAGGTGAGCGACTCAGGCTTGGTGTTCTTCGACCCCGGACGGTATGAGATGGTAAACCGGAACCTGGTGAAGAACAACGCCCACCTGGCCTGGCCCAAGTTGAGCCTCTTGGCACCCTGAATGTAAGTTCTTATGGTCCGTCCATACGACGAATGGATGGGCGGCCCCCTCTAGCCAATGCCTCCACTCCCCAGGGCGAGCTTAACCGCTAGCAACTCATGGTTCCCCACGTCATAATTCTGCTCCGCCGGGGACATCCAACGGGAGTAAACGCACAGGGGTGAATCTTACCATCCATGAGGAACCGCTGGGACAGGATTGCTCCCACCGCAACGTCTGACGCATCCACCTCCACAATGAACGGCAGGGACGGATCAGGATGACCTAGGACTGGGGCCGATGTAAAGCGCCGCTTAAGCGCATCAAATGCGTTCCCCGCTTCCCGGGTCCAGGCGAAGGAGCGCACGCTTGTCTGGGTGAGGGCTGTCAGGGGAGCGGCTAGGAAGCTAAACTTGTGAATAAATCGGCTATAAAAATTTGTGAACCCTAAAAAACGTTGTAGATGCTTGAGGGATGAGGCCAATCCAGTACCGCGCTGTCCTTGGTTGGGTCCATCCGTAGGTCCCCTTGGTTGACGATGAACCCCAGGAAGGAGACTGTCTCTGTGTGGAACACGCACTTCTCCACCTTGACGTAGAGCTGGTTACAGAGAAGGCGTTGGAGGACCTGCCGAACGTGCTGCTGGTGTTCACTCATGTCCTTTGAAAATATTAGGATGTCATCCAAATACACGAAGACGCTGTAGTCGAGGAGGTCCCGGAGCATGTCATTGACCAACGCCTGGAACACTGCAGGCATGTTGGCTAGACTGAACGGCATGACTTGGTACTCGTAATGCCCACTGGGTGTGTTAAAAGCCGTCTTCCACTCGTCCCCCTCCCGAATCCTCACCAGGTTTTAGGCATTGCATAAGTCCAGCTTGGTGAAGACCCAGGCTCCCTGCAACTACTCGAATGCAGTCGTCATCAGGGGGAGTGGGTAGCGGTTCTTAACCATGATGTCGTTGAGCGCCCAGTAATCAATGCACGGCCGCTGCCCACCGTCCTTTTTCCCCACAAAGAAGAAGCCCGCGCCCACGGGTGAGGTAGAGGGATGGATGTGACCCTCGACGAGTGCCTCGTCGATATACTCCCTCATGGCCAGCGTCTCCGGCTGGGACAAGGAAAACAATCGCCCTCGTGTGGATATGGCGCCCGGCAGGAGATCGATAGCGCAGTCGTATGGCCAGTGAGGAGGTAGGCCCTTGGCACACCTCTTACTAAACACCTCCCAATACTCCCGGGGAATGCCTGCCAGGTCTGGGCCGGTGACGGAGTCTGTAGCCGCCGTCCTCCCGGTGGCAACCGCTGCTAGGACGGTAGGCGGTTCGGAGTACGGGATCTGGGGAAGAGGTGAGGACTGGTAGGTGGTCTGGAACGGTGGTTTGGGCTGATGAGTGGTCGGTGGAGACCGGAACAGGACGGGGGCGGAGCCTCCCTCCAGGATGAGCTACCCTGTGGACCAGTCTATCCAGGGTTTGTGGGCGACCAGCCAGGGGTGCCCGAGGAAGGAGAGTTCGTCCTTCATCCTCTCCGATAGCCCCTGTGCATAAAGGACGACCAGGGCGGCCTCCTCCCATCCTGCCTCTCGAGCCCGGGTCCAGAACTCCACGGAGTAGTCCGCCGCCGAACGGTCACCCTGCCGACAGGCCGTGAGCCGCCTCGTGCCCTGACACCACTCGAGAGGTGTCGAACACCTTGCGTAGCTCCCGGGTGAATTGGTAGGAGTCGGAGCATGCCAGAGTTTGGCTCTCCCACTCCGCGGTAGCCCAGGAAAGGGCCCGACCCGTCAACAGAGTGATGATGTAGGCCACCCGGACCTGCTCCGTCGGGAAGGAGGAGGGTTGTAGGCTGAATACCAGGGAACACTGGGTGAGGAATTCCCTGCAGCCCTCTGGACGTCCGTCATACCTCTCCGGAGGTGGTAGGCGAGGTTCCTGCGATGTCGCAGGCGTGACTGGAGACGCCGCTGTCATCAAGGCAAAGGGTGGCTACTTAGCAGAATCTCAAATATAAAATATATTTTGATTTGTTTAACACTCTTTTGGTTACTACATGATTCCATATGTGTTATTTCATAGTTTTGATTTCTTCACTATTATTCTACAATGTAGAAAATAGTCAAAATAAAGAAACACCCTCGAAATAGTAGGTGTGTCCAAACTTTTGACTGGTACTGTATATAAATTCAATTAAATAGTCTAGTACACACACCAAAACATTTCAGATGTTCAAATCAAAAGGCTATTGGACAGAAAAACGTGGGCAGTTGGGTGCATTGCAAATCCAGAACAGTTGAACATCAACATAATAAACTAAAGCACTGATCATTGGGAACGAGATCAGAATGACTGCTAAGGCTTGATCCATAAATTAAATAATACATTTGCCTACAAAACTAAAACAATCCATATGTTCAAATCAAAAGATTAACATGAAATCAATACTGCAGCCACATCCCGAGTCCCCGGTGCCGACGCATTCAGAAAACAAAAGATGGTTTAGAATTTAGTTTTAAAGCTCGGATGAAGGCCAAGAGAACAATAAACATTTTTCAATTAGAAAACAGAAATCCACTTTCGGTTAAAAAAATATATTTACTTCTGTTTTCAAAGCTGTAACTTAAGATGCAATACTCGTGATCATTTTAAGGAGAACAAAAACTACTTTGCCTACATTTGAACACCACCGCAGAAGCTTCGCTATTCGGCATCTTCCCAATTAAGTAGCCTAGTTTTGTTGTCTGGCTACTTGAAGAGAACTAGGGCCTATCACTCGCAGCCCACCTTGTGGGAAAGTGTGCATCGAATTCTACTAGATGAAGAGCCGAAATTAGTATAACATCCTGGCATTTATACCATACTCGATTTTCAAAAATGTACATACTATAACTCATTCTATTTTCGCATACTGAGACTGCATCATGCACGATTGCGTTGTTTCCCACTATTCGTTGATTTCGGTAGCGCATCCCCATATCTAATTGATCAGCTGTTGTCAAAACCGAAATGAGTATGACATCCGGGCATTTAAAATATACTAGAATTTCGATACTATTTAGGACCCAAGTATGGGTATGTGAACTTAAAACAGATATATATACCCCCAGTATTTGAGAAAGTGACCTCAGGTAGGTAGGTACTCACGTCTCCCCTGTTTGGCGGTAGTTGGGTGGACACTCGAATGACAGGCATCTGAATCCACCCTGCACGTTGAAGCAGCTCTCTGTCTCAGAGCAGGTGTGTGTCCCTGTCACACACTCATCAACATCTGTACAGGAAGAGAAACAAATAAACTCAGAACCATAAAAATAGAAAATCCTTTATATCAAACATAAAACCTGGGTTCAAACCTCAGTCTCCTGCGTGCCAAGAGAATGTGTTAGACCGCTAATCTAAAGCCTAGGCATTAGCTCAGGGAGCTAACATACAGTGCATTCAGAAAGTATTCAGACCCCTTGACTTTTTCCACATTTTGTTACGTTACAGCCTTATTCTAAAATGTATTACATATTTTTAAAAATCCTCAGCAATCTACACACAACACCCCATAATGACAAAGCAAAAACAGTTTTTTAGAAATGTTTGCAAATGTACATAAGTATTCAGACCCTTTGATTTGAGACTCGAAACTGAGCTGCTCCAGAGCGATCAGGACCTCAGACTGGGGCGAAGGTTCACCTTCCGACAGGACAACGACCCTAAGCACACAGCCAAGACAATGCAGGAGTGGCTTCAGGACAAGTCTCTGAATGTCCTTGAGTGGCTCAGCCAGAGCCCGGACTTGAACCCGATCGAACATCTCTGGAGAGACCTGAAAATAGCTGTGCAGCAACGCTCCCCATCCAACCTGACAGAGCTTGAGAGGATCTGCAGAGAAGAATGGGTGAAACTCCCCAAATACAGATGTGCCAAGCTTGTAGCGTCATAACCAAGAAGACTGTAATGCTGTAATCGCTGCCAAAGGTCTTCAACAAAGTACTGAGTAAAGGGTCTGAATACTTATGTAAATGTGATTTTTTGTTTTTGTATTTTTTATAAAGTAGCAACATTTCTAAAAATCTGTTTTGGCTTTGTCATTATGGGTTATTGTGTGTAGATTGATGAGGAAGAAAATGTATTTAATACATTTTAGAATAAGGGGTCTGAATACTTTCCGAAGGCACTGTACGTTTTCAAATCTCAGGCAAGGTCACTCGTTACGCGAGTGTGTTCACCGAATTATCACTGTTACTATATTTCTTCTGATCTGAAGTATGACCATGACCCCCATGCTGTGGATCCCTGCACCCCCCTGAGGAGCAAGGCCTTACCCTGGCAGCTGCGTCCGTTGGGAGCCAGGATGTAGCCGGTGGCGGGGCAGATGCAGTGGAAGCTCCCAGGGGTGTTGTGGCAGTGGTAGGAGCAGATGTGACCCCGGGTGGGCAGGGCACACTCATCAATGTCTGGAAAGGTCAGAGGTTAAAGATCAGAGGTCAAACATGGAGGATGTAAAGGATACAGGAAGTAAAGACAATAAATACCTCACTAATGGGGCTCCTGATTAGGTTTGACAGTAGGCTATGGCTCATCGGATACCGTTTTAGCATCTCCTACCTTCACAGTTGATGCCATCTATGTCACTGAGCTGGTAGCCACGGCGACAGTAGCACTGGTAGGAGCCGTACACGTTGGCACACTCTTGACTGCAGGGGCTGCTCTCACATTCATTTAGATCTACACCCAACAATATAACTCAATTAGAGATAATACTAGTGATCTATACACAATGTATCTGATGATTTATGCATATGGACAGTCATAGTGAAAGTCTACACACCCCTTGCACAGACTTCACATTTGCTGCCTTAAAAGGGAATTAATTGGATTATTTTCCCACCGATCTACACAACCTACTCCACATTTTCAAAGTGAAAGAAAAATTATCGAACATTTTCCTAATTAATTACAAATAAAGAAACGAAAATGTCTTGATTGCGTATGTCTTCTTTAATACTTGGTGGAAGCATGTTTGGCAGCCATTACAGTTGTGACTAATTTTGAATACGATTCTACCAACTTTGCACAACTCTTGGGGCAACATGTATACATTGTTTTTGTCAAATTGCACAAGCTCAGTAAATTTGGTTGGGAGTCATTGATGGACCACAATATTCAAACCTTGTCTCTGATTTTCAAGCACATTTAAGTCAGGAATGAGACTGGACCACTCAGGAACACTCAATACCTCTTGGAAAGCCTGTCCTGACTTAAATCTGCTTGAAAATCAAGAAACAAGGTTTGAATATTGTTGTCCATCAATGACTCCCAACCAAATTTATTGAGTTTGAGCAATTTTGACAAAAACAATAGATATACGTTGCCCTTTGAGTTGTGCAAAATTGGTAGATTCTTATTCAAAATTATTGTAATGGCTGCCAAAGGTGTTTCCACAGAGTATTAACTCTGGGGTGTAAAGATATACAGTGAGGGAAAAAAGTATTTGATCCCCTGCTGATTTTGTACGTTTGCCCACTGACAAAGATATGATCAGTCTATAATTTTAATGGTAGGTTTATTTGAACAGTGAGACAGAATAACAACAACAAAAATCCAGAAAAACGCATGTCGAAAATGTTATAAATTGATTTGCATTTTAATGAGGGAAATAAGTATTTGACCCCTCTGCAAAACATGACTTAGTAATTGGTGGCAAAACCCTTGTTGGCAATCACAGAGGTCAGACGTTTCTTGTAGTTGGCACCAGGTTTGCACACATCTCAGGAGGGATTTTGTCCCACTCCTCTTTGCAGATCTTCTCCAAGTCATTAAGGTTTCGAGCCTGACGTTTGGCAACTCGAACCTTCAGCTCCCTCCACAGATTTTCTATGGGATTAAGGTCTGGAGACTGGCTAGGCCACTCCAGGACCTTAATGTGCTTCTTCTTGAGCCACTCCTTTGTTGCCTTGGCCGTGTGTTTTGGGTCATTGTCATGCTGGAATACCCATCCACTACCCATTTTCAATGCCCTGGCTGAGGGAAGGAGGTTCTCACCCAAGATTTGGATTTCACGGTACATGGCCCCGTCCATCGTCCCTTTTGATGTGGTGAAGTTGTCCTGTCCCCTTAGCAGAAAAACACCCCCAAAGCATAATGTTTCCACCTCCATGTTTGACGGTGGGGATGGTGTTCTTGGGGTCATAGGCAGCATTCCTCCTCCTCCAAACACGGCGAGTTGAGTTGATGCCAAAGAGCTCGATTTTGGTCTCATCTGACCACAACACTTTCACCCAGTTCTGAATCATTCAGATGTTCATTGGCAAACTTCAGACGGGCCTGTATATGTGCTTTCTTGAGCAGGGGGACCTTGCGGGTGCTGCAGGATTTTAGTCCTTCACGGCATAGTGTGTTACCAATTGTTTTCTTGGTGACTATGGTCCCAGCTGCCTTGAGATCATTGACAAGATCCTCCCGTGTAGTTCTGGGCTGATTCCTCACCGTTCTCATGATCATTGCAACTCCACGAGGTGAGATCTTGCAAATCAGCAGGGGATCAAATACTTTTTTCCCTCACTGTATGCAATCAAGAAATCTTTGTTTTGTATTTCTTATTAATTTGGAAAATGTTCTATAATTTTTCTTGCACTTTGAAAATGTGTAGGTTGTGTACACCGGTAGAAAATTAATCCATTTTTTGATTTAATTTGAAGACAGCAAAATGTGAAAACTGTGCAAAGGGAGTGTAAACCTTCTCTAGGCCCACATAGATCGTGTCCCCGCTTATAAATATCTGGGTATCTGGATTGACGAAAAGCTTACTTTCAAAAAGCATATTGATGAGTTAGTTAAGAAGTTAATAATTAAAATGGTCTTTCTTTATAGCAATATGGCATGCCTTTTGTTAAATAACAGAAAACTAATAATTCAGTCGACATTCATACCGGTTATAGATTATGGTGATATCGTCTATATGAATGCAGCTGCCACTGTATTGAAGCCATTGGACACAGTTTATCATAGCGCACTATGCTTTATTAAGGGCGACAAGTTCAGTACACATCACTGCTTTCTGTATCAGAAAGTAGGCTGGCCCTCTTTGAGGTCTCGTAGATTGACGCATTGCACTCTTTCTGTTTATAAAGCCCTCTTACACAAACTTCCACCGTACCTTACTTCATTGTTAACCTACAGATGTACGAGCTACCAGACCCGGTCTCAGGGATGGCTAACTCTGGAGATCCCTTCGATTTCCACTGAGTTAGGTAAATCTGCTTTTAGTTTTTTTGCACCTTACTTGTGGAATAATCTCAAAAACTGTGATGTTTTGGTGCCTTTCCATATCTTCATACCGTTCCTGTCTTGGAGTATACGGTATTACCGGCAGTGCACACAAGAGGTGCTATTTCTTTCCAAACGTAAAAAAAAATGCTGACATATGCTAACAAAGTGTTTTGTGTCTCTGTTCTGCTTTTCGTAGTGTATTGATGTGTATATCTTTTAAAAAGAGACCTGTCAAAATAAAGGCTGAATAAAGAAATAAAATAAAAAATGCTGCACATGATCTTGAGAGAGAGAGAGAGAGAGAGAGAGAGAGAGAGAGAGAGAGAGAGAGAGAGACATGACCACAAACTTCAGTAAGGCAAAACAAGAGACGGCCAATGAGAGAAGCCCATATTTAAATACCTCTGTTATCTTTGGAAGGCTGCCTTACCGTCACAGTTCCTGCCGTCGCTGGCCAGCTTGAAGCCTTGGGTGCAGATGCACTTGTAGGACCCCAGGGCATTCTCACACTTGTGGGCACAGAGGCGCCCAGGGTAGTGCCTGCACTCGTTGATATCTAAGACACAGAAGAAAACAACACTAAGTTGAACATCTACAGTTGGAGCAGTTTCCAGTATCCTTGTCCTGTATGACACATCTACAGAACCAAGCACAGATGACTGTATCCAGTATCCTGATCTTGTATGACTCAGTTGGTAGAGTATGGCGCTTGCAACGGCAGGATTGTGGGTTCGATTCCGGAGGCCACCAATACGTTAAAAAATATATGCACGCATGTTTGTCAGTTGCTTTGGATATAAGCATTTGCTAAATGGCATATATTATTATATTTTATAAACTGGGTGGTTCGAGCCCTGAATGCTGATTGGCTGACAGCCGTGGTATATCAGACCGTATACCACGGGTATGACAACATTTATTTTTACTGCTCTAATTACGTTGGTAACTAGTTTATAATAGAAATAAGGCACCTCTGGGGTTTGTGGTATATGGCCAATATTCCACGGCTAAGGGCTGTGTCCAGGCACTCCACGTTGCGTCGTGAATAAGAACATCCCTTAGCCGTGGTATTTTAGCCATATACCACACCCCCTCGTGCCTTATGGCTTAAATATATTATAGTATAACAGCCACCCAGTCTTGGGTGACATTTAACTTGAACCCTTTGTCATAAGACCTACATAACACTGTGATAACAATGACATAACAAATGTCATAAACAGTCACGACTGTTGGCGTCCTGCTTATGTCAACTGACATTACACTGTCATGTAACTACTAGGAGGATTAAGTCAGTGCATACCTTCGCAGAGGCGGCGGATGCTGTTGAAGATGAAGCCAGCCTTACACTCACAACGGAACGATCCTACCAGGTTGATACAGCTGTGGCCTGCACACGCTCCATCAGGACCCTTACACTCATCAATATCTGCACCAGGATATTACAGGAAGAAACAAGCACATTCTTATGCAAAAGAATGCATTACAAAGGATAGTGAGGTCACAGGAAATACATGGAAATGTAGGCTACAGTATCAGGTTGCTAATGCTAATCAATGGAGGTGAACGTGGTAGAGATCCATGTCTATCAGCGCTGCAGTGTATACATGGGATGTTGAGGCTCCCCTGGAAAGAGGTGTCTAATATAACCCAGGAGAGGGACCTTATGGAGGCCTTATCCCCAACTGGCACGATGAGGCCTAAGTATGCAAGTGAGGCAGCTGTACGTACCCACGCAGCGGTTGCCGTCGTCGTTGAGGTGGTATCCCCGGCCACAGTTGATAGAGTTCCTCTGGCAGGTGAAGGAGCCCACCGTGTTCATACACGACTGGCCAGGGTGGCACGGCTCTGTCTGGGCCAGACACTCATTGATGTCTGGGATAGAGGTCAGAGGTTATACATACGGGCAAAGATAATCTATATATTGACAAGACATTGGACTGTCTGCTCTAACAATGGGAATACATGTTCACAAATGCGGAAGGCAGGCGGGAGGAGGCAGAGTAGGTGGGAACATTCTAGACAAGGAGAGGGCAGATACACATGTGAACAACATGCCCAACTCTGATATAAAATTGTTCTTTCAAAATTGCCACTTGAGTCCACTTATATCAGTACATTCGTAACAACCTAAAAATTATGAAACTTCTATTTGATCAAATAAGCCTCATATAGAAAATGTTCAATTCAATTTTATGTTGACCAAATTCAACACTCTCTCGTCTCACGAGCTTCCCAGTGACACAAGCCTACCAGACGAGCTAAACAACTTCTATGCTCGCTTCGAGGCAAGCAACACTGAAACATGCATGAGAGCACCAGCTGTTCCAGATGACTATGTGATCACGCTCTCCGTAGCCGATGTGAATAAGACTTTTAAGCAGGTCAACATTCACAAGGCCGCAGGGCCAGACGGATTACCAGGACGTGTACTCCGAGCATGTGCTGACCAACTGGCAAGTGTCTTCACTGACATTTTCAACATGTCCCTGACTGAGTCTGTAATACCAACATGTTTCAAGCAGACCACCATAGTCCCCGTGCCCAAGGACACTAAGATAACCTGCCTAAATGACTACCGACTCGTAGCACTGACGTCTGTAGCCATGAAGTGCTTTGAAAGGCTGGTCATGGCTCACATCAACACCATTATCCCAGAAACCCTAGACCCACTCCAATTTGCATACCGCTCCAACAGATCCACAGATGATGCAATCTCGATTGCACTCCACACTGCCCTTTCCCACCTGGACAAGAGGAACACCTACGTGAGAATGCTATTCATTGACTACAGCTCAGCATTCAACACCATAGTGCCCTCAAAGCTCATCACTAAGCTAAGGATCCTGGGACTAAACACCTCCCTCTGCAACTGGATCCTGGACTTCCTGACGGGCCGCCCCCAGGTGGTAAGGGTGGGTAACAACACATCTGCCACACTGATCCTCAACACGGGGGCCCCTCAGGGATGCGTGGTCAGTCCCCTCCTGTACTCCCTGTTCACCCATGACTGCATGGCCAGGCACGACTCCAACACCATCATTAAGTTTGCCGACGACAGTGGTAGGCCTGATCACCGACAACGATGAGACAGCCTATAGGGAGGAGGTCAGAGACCTTGGCCGTGTGGTGCCAGGATAACAACCTCTCCCTCAACGTGACCAAGACAAAGGAGATGATTGTGGACTACAGGAAAAAAAAGAGGACTGAGCACGCCCCCATTCTCATCGACGTGGCTGTAGTGGAACAGGTTAAGAGCTTCAAGTTCCTTGGTGTCCACATCACCAACGAACTATCATGGTCCAAACACACCAAGACAGTCGTGAAGAGGGCACGACAAAGCCTATTCCCCCTCAGGAGACTGAAAAGATTTGGCATGGGTCCTCAGAAAATTCTACAGCTGCACCATCGAGAGCATCCTGACTGGTTGCATCACCACCTGGTATGGCAACTGCTTGGCCTCCGACCGCAAGGCACTACAGAGGGTAGTGCTTACGGCCCAGTACATCACTGGGGCCAAGCTTCCTGCCATCCAGGACCTCTATACCAGGCGGTGTCAGAGGAAGGCCCTCAAAATTGTCAAAGACTCCAGCCACCCTAGTCATACACTGTTCTCTCTGCTACCGCACGGCAAGCGGTACCGGAGTGCCAAGTCTAGGTCCAAAAGACCTCTCAACAGCTTCTACCCCCAAGCCATAAGACTCCTGAACAGCTAATCATGGCTACCCGGACTATTTGCACTGCCCCCCACCCCATCTTTTTACGCTGCTGCTACTCTGTTAATTATTTATGCATAGTCACTTTAAGTCTACCCACATGTACATATTACTTCAACTACCTCAACTAGCCGGTGCCCCCGCACATTGACTCTGCACCGGTACCCCCCTGTATATATAGCCTCCCTACTGTTATTTTATTTTACTTCTGCTCTTTTTTTCTCAACACTTTTTCGTTGTTGTTTTATTTTACTTTTTTATTAAAAATAAATGCACTGTTGGTTAAGGGCTGTAAGTAAGCATTTCACTGTAATGTCTGCACCTGTTGTATTCGGCGCATGTGGCCAATACAATTTGATTTGATTTGATTTGACTACTCATCATGGTAGTGGTGGCGGGGAGGAAGGGGCACAAGGGGTTCAGTGATATGACCCTGTGGTGCCCTATGTGACCCATATCAGAGATGAAGAGGCGAAGCGAGAGGGCTGACTGGACCCCACTTGGTCTGCTTTACACGTTATTCTCGCGAGGGCAGATTTTGGGGCCAGTCAGCCCTCTCGCTTCGCCTCTTCATCTCTGATATGGGTCACATAGGGCACCACAGGGTCATATCACTGAACCCCTTGTGCCCCTTCCTCCCTGCCACCACTACCATGATGAGTTCCTAAAATATGTAATGTATGTCAGAGAACACTTGGAACTATACTTTGAAGATACTGGGTTTGGGGGTACATGTGGGATGGATGGGGTTATGTTTTGCCATGGTGATAGGTTGCCAGGGTAACATCTGTCAGGGTCCTGATGCTCACCGATGCAGCTGCCCATGGCGTCCTGGATGTATCCGTCACCACACTGGTTCTTGGGCAGACAGTGGAACGACCCCTGAGTGTTCTGACACTCAAAGTCCGGGGTGCAGTTGTGGGTGCCCGACTCACACTCGTCAATGTCTGGGGGAAAGAAGACATGTTGTAAGAGAGAATCAAACTGTTTGTGATTAAAATGTATTCTTATAAATATTCAACAATAGCTTCATTGCAAGTCAAAATCAGACTTACTGTAAATTTTACCAGCTCTTGGGAATAGAGAGAGAGAGAGACAGAGAGAGAGAGAGAGAGAGAGAGAGAGAGAGAGAGAGAGAGAGAGAGAGAGACAGAGAGAGAGAGAGAGAGAGACAGAGAGACAGACAGACAGACAGACAGACAGACAGACAGACAGACAGATCGATCGATCGATAGATCGATAGATAGATAGATCCAGTTGATCATGGATGTATGAATCATGAATCAGACATATTGATCTTTCATTATTCCCTCGCCCCTGTAGGAGGCATTGTGTTGTGACCTCTGACCTTTGCAGTTGTTGCTGTCCGTGAGCTCGTAGCCGGTACCACAGCTGACCTCTCTCTGGCAACGGAATGACCCCACTGTGTTGATGCAGTGCTCGCCTCCTCTGCAGTTACTGGCCCCCAGCAGGCACTCGTTTATATCTGAGAGATGAAGGGAGGAAGAGGGGAGGATAGTTTCGAAGCCGTATCTAAGAGGTAAGAAATCCTAGTCCTGGGGAGGATAGTTTCGAAGCCGTATCTAAGAGGTAAGAAATCCTAGTCCTGGGGAGGATAGTTTCGAAGCCGTATCTAAGAGGTAAGAAATCCTAGTCCTGGGGAGGATAGTTTCGAAGCCGTATCTAAGAGGTAAGAAATCCTAGTCCTGGGGAGGATAGTTTCGAAGCCGTATCTAAGAGGTAAGAAATCCTAGTGCTGGGGAGGATAGTTTCGAAGCCGTATCTAAGAGGTAAGAAATCTTAGTCCTGGGGAGCTACTAGATGTACAGGGTTTTATTCCAGCTCACTAACTTTTCAACAAGATATGGCTGGTGCCTCCAGTCTACTCACCCTCACAGTTCTTCCCATCTGGTTTGAGTTTGTAACCTTTGAAGCAGGCACAGGTGAAGTTGCCCACACATTCCTGTGCACACTTCGCTAATCCTGTTGAGAACAGAAAATGTGCACATTATAAACAAACATAGACTAGTAAATTACCTATGTTTCTGACTTTCTCTGTGAGGACACAGTCTGTTACTAACATGTCAATGTCATGTGTGGAGGGCTTGTTACCGTTACTGCACATGTTATTCGGTAAGGGGTTATCCTTATCAGTGAGGGTCTCGTTGTCTTTGTCAGAAACTGTGGGGAAAGAAAATAGAAGATTGACCAGTACAGGCAAAAACTAAGTTTGCAAATAAAGTGTTGAAACCAATGCATCATGACAATGGAGGTCTTTACTGAAACTACAGTAAGAGCCCTGTCTCCTAATGGCCACCAGAGGACAGAGTAGTATTGGATGTATACTAGAAAGAATAGCGTTCCATATATCCTTCCACTCTCTCCACTCTCTCCACCTCTCTACTCCACCGTTCCCCTCCTCCCACCTCTCCACTCACTTTACTTCTCCACCTCTCTTCCCTCCATCACTCCACCTTCTCTTCACCCTCCACCATTAGTCCTTCCCTCGCATTAGAGTAGATTCTCTTACCCAGGGAGTTTTTGGTCTCCACATCAGGGGCTCCGTCATTGCAGCAGCCCCGGGACACCAGGCCACACTGATAGCCCAGAGACAGGCTGTGGTCACAGGTCAGACCCTGCTCCTGAACAGCCTGGCCCAGCAGACAACAGTCACAGCACATCTGGAGGGGTCAGACCAGAGATATATGATTACTCAATGTTTTTCTATGCATAATTTGACCAGAATGACAGACGGACGGACGGAGAGGGGGAAATTACATCATCATCACCACCACTTCACCACTATCATCAATCACCATTATCTGAAGGGAATCCGTCTGGGCTTGTCTAGGGGGAGGAGTCTAGTTTGAGTGTATCTGTCTGGTCTGTCTATCTTCTCTGTCCTTGAGGATGTCATAATATGTGTATTGAGTGGTGCGGTTGTGGCAGCTAGCCTAGCGGTTAAGAGCATTGGGCCAGTAACCGAACGGTCGCTGGTTCGAATCCCCAAACTGACTCGGTAAGAAATCTGTCTATGTGCCCTTGGGAAAGGCACTTAACCCCGTAATTGCTCCTGTAAGTCACTCTGGATAAGAGCATCTGCTAAACGCAAAAAAAAAAAAAAGTGGAAGTCTGGTAGTGTACTGAGAGATTTTAGGGGGAGCTTAAAAATGACCATGGTATACTATTGTTCTTCCCCCATTCTAAACTCATTTTGTACCTCCTTTCTCCCATTCATCAAATGCAGCACACCTCAATGCAATCACCCGACACCTGCAATTCATGGGTGGATCAAGTAAAGACATGTTGCTGGCTGCACTAACAACGACCTCATTCTCCTGGGCAAATGTACTGTGGCTCACTTGGCAAAGCTCTTCAAGGGCCTTGACTGATACCATGGTGTGCAGCTGGATGGGGGCATACAGTGTAGTGTAGGATCCTGAGGAAGAGGACAGCCAGGTATAGAGAGCCCACATTGGCAGAGAGTATCTGAGGTGAATTGATCATCTACCTGACAGCAACAAGCTCCATTCCTCACTCCTCCCCAGAGTGACATGTTTCATTCATCCTGCTCACCAGGCACACACACACACGGACGCATGCACACACACACACGCACACACACACCGACATTCAATCTCATTCACTCTCCTGCAGAAATTGCACGTCCAGTGTAGTGATGTACGATGATCAGCATGAGGTTCTTGAAGCAGACAATGATTACTTCCCGACACACTTTTTATACACACACATACACATGCATGTAAACACAAGTATTTGGCTATGTATGCACATATGCACACACACACACAGTCTCTCACACACACTCTCACAGACACACACACACACACACCTTGGCAGTCTTGGTCTCGCAGGTGCTTCCAGTGAACTGTGTGTCGCAGGCCCCCTGGTCTTTGGCCATGTTGATGCCATTGGTGCAGATAGTGTCCTCCAGAACTGCCGTGCAGCACTGCTCCTGCACTATCCTGTCAGACAGGAACAGGAAAGACACAGGGAATACAGTTGTTCTTAACTCTATCACTAGGCTCCTTAGTGGAATAGAGCGCTGTCTCAATGTGCTTCCTATTAAAAAGAGCCACGGGCATGCCTAATAGGGACGTGCTCATAGTCCTGATTGGTACAGCTGCTGTAAGTGGGTTGAGTGAAGAAGGAAGGCCCTGTGTAAACTCAAGGTGGATTAAAACTTTGTTTATAATCTTCACTTTATCAGAGTTGGGTCAATGCACCACTGCCTCCATTTGGCTTACCAAACTAACTGTTATGGGTACAGTGAAACTAACTTAAGAATCCCTTATTTACAGTCACTATTTTAACCCTCCCCTGACGGACACAGAGGGCTGCAGGGCTGCAACACTTCCTAGACAGAGTTGCAAAATTCCGTTAACCTTCCCAAAATTCCCAGGTTTTCCAGAAATCCTGCTTGGATTTTGTAACCCTATTTCCTGGACAACATTACTGGAATTACATCCCTCTCTGAGTCTGGACCAGATTATTTAGGAAGCCTAAGAGAACTTCCTGACACAGCTGGATGACCAGTGATATCCACCTACCTGACCTGTCTCTCCAGCTGGAGTGGCTTCATTAATCTTTTTACAGTAAAACCAGAAATGGTTACCGTACTGTAAGACTTCAAAGGAGAAAACGGAGGTAGAGAAAGAGCTGTATGAGTCTGCTGTAAATAATCCGATCTAAAATGAGAGTGAGAGCAGGCAGTACACCTCTTTACTGTACACAGTCAAGCTTTATCATATCATCAACTGAGACTTGGGTTGCTGTGCTTTACCTCCAATGGTCTGCTACTCTGAGGAAGTACAATAAGTTAAGGGGTGCTTGTGTCTGTCTGTCTGCCCGTTTCTGTCTGTCTGTCTAAAGGGAGGGAGTGAAACCCATTGTCTGTTTTACGAGATTGAGTACAGTACAGTACTTAGATCCCCTCTCCACTCCACTCCGCTACCAACAAGCATATGTCTTTATCAACCCTCTTACCAGAAATTATCTCTTTCCATATAAACTAGATCTCTCCCCACGACAACTGCACTCACGTCACCTCCGCAGAACCTTTTAAGGGCACAGCAGTGCTCCTGTCTTTCTTTTCTCTTCTTGTCTTTTTTTTTGGTGTCTGAAATGATCCAATTTCCTGTTCTTCCCCCTCTCCAGTCCTCTCCAGTCCTCTCCAGTCCTCTCTATAGTTTCACCTTAGTGGTATTTCCTGGATTTGACAATACCCCCTCTCTCTAAACCCTATACCCAATCCCGCACTCAACCAAAAACCTAATTCTGGATCACTTGGGTAGCCAAGGTCAATACATTTGCCATCAGAGAGCAGATTGAGCAACATATCTCCTCATTATTGGCCTTGAACCTGTGGCAGGACACCTTCTACTATTACTACCAGAGCTGTTATTACACTGTCATTAATACTAGTGTAATGTCTCCTGCTCTCACGTCAAGTCAAGAATGTGGCTGGGGATTTATGACCGGACGTAAGGTAAAGTCATCACACACTATGGCCTACCACCACACATATTGCCCCATAGTCTATACAGCTTACAGTTAACCCCATGGGACTAATACTGAGGTAAGCAGTTCCCCCTATGGGCACAGAGGTAAGACCATAGAAATAAGGCTGTACAGTCAGAGAGTACATTAAGTACTGTAGTAAGGCCCCACTCACCTGCATGTGGTGGACTCAGAGATGAGAGAGATGACTGTGCAGTCCTGGTTATCAATGCCCCGAACCCGACCATCCTTACAGCACTCATCTATTGAGATCTGTTTTCCACCTGTGGATGGACAAAACCACAAACAAACAGTGTGTGTTATACTTATGCTTATGCTGTGGCTTGGCCTAATGAAGAGATTCCTACAGTGTCGGTGTGGGACATCTAGAGACCCCAAATGGAGTGTGACATCCCTCCTCTAAAACAGTTAGAGACCCATGAGAACTGTTCACATCTGCATAAAATCTCCCATGATAAGGGTGTTAGCCTGCTGAGCTAAAGCCCAGGCATTAGCTCCGAGAGCTAACGCTAGACTTCAGGGCTCAGGTTACTCATAATGCACAGAACCACCTTCTATGTTACATAAGGTGACAGTCAACGCCAAGGGATAAGAAACACTCTAACATTAATTAGAAACTAAATTGTTAGAACAAAATAAATAGAGGTTTCAAGCCATGTTTGCATACAATGGAGTCTATTCTGTTGGGTGAATAATACATAATGATTGACATGTTTAGAATGATTATGCAAAGTATGTTTACAAAATGTGCAAAATCTTACCAAAACAAAAGTATATTGTTGTTACCCAATACCACTCACACTTTCACACTACTAACAATTTGTCTTCCAAGTGATTGAAAAACTCATTCAAAGCTGTTTGGAATGTTTCTAAATGCCTGCAAGCATTTTGCCAGCGATACTGAATGATGGATATGTTGTGTAGAAATAAGAGGCTAGGACTGGAGTTGGACCAACTCTGTGGCGCTCGGTCTGCTTTCCAGGACCACCCATACATAAACATTTATGCATGCGTGACTGTAAGTTGCTTTGGATAAAAGCGTCTGCTAAATGGCATATATTATTATTATAGAACACTCACAGTAAAATCATATATGTACATCTAATAACCCTGTTGTTGATTCTCAGCCTAGTCGAAAACTAGGACAAGTGTCTGGAGGTGTCATCTTCAATTTATAGTTCCATAAAGTTTTTTTTTTGTTCCAATTATTTCTGCCAGAGGAGGGAACTTGGTTTACAGTGCATTCGGAAAGTATTCAGACCCCTTGACTTTTTCCACATTTTGTTACATTACAGCCTTATTCTAAAATTGATTAAATTCATACTTTTCAGACCCTTTGCTATGAGACTCGAAATGTAGCTCACGTGCATCCTGTTTCCATGGATTATGCTTGAGATGTTTCTACAACTTCATTGGAGTCCACCTGTGGTAAATTCTATTGATTGGACATGATTTGGAAAGGCACACACCTGTCTATATAAGGTCACACAGTTGACAGGGCATGGCAGAGCAAAAACCAAGCCATGAGGTCGAAGGAATTGTCCGTAGAGCTCCGAGACAGGATTGTGTCGAGGCAGATCCGGGGAAGGGTAAAAAACATTTCTGCAGCATTGAAGGTCCCCAAGAACACAGTGGCCTCCATCAATCTTAAATGGAAGAAGTTTGGAACTACCAAGACTCTTCCTAGAGCTGGCCGCCTGGGCCAAACTGAGCAATCGGGGGAGAAGGGCCTTGGTCAGGGAGGTGGCCAAGAACCCGATGGTCACTCTGACAGAGCTCCAGAGTTCCTCTGTGGAGATGGGAGAATCTTCCAGAAGGACAACCATCTCTGCAGCACTCCACCAATCAGGCCTTTATGGTAGAGTGGCCAGACGGAACCCACTCCTCAGTAAAAAGCACATGACAACCCACTTGGAGTTTGCCAAAAGGCACCCAAAGGACGATCAGAGCATGAGAAACAAGATTCTCTGGTCTGATGAAACCAAGATTGAACTATTTACTGTATAGAAGTTTGGAACCACCAACACTCTTCCTAGAGTCGCTCCCCATCCAACCTGACAGAGCTTTTGAGGATCTGCAGAAAATAATGGGAGAAACTCCCCAAATACAGGTGTGCCAAGCTTGTAGCGTCATACCCAAGACGACTCAAGGCTGTAATCACTGCCAAAAATGCTTCAACAAAGTACTGAGTAAAGGGTCTGAATACTTATGGAAATTTGATATTTCTGGGGGTTTTAGCAAATAAATCTAAAAATAGTTTTTGCTTTGTCTTTGTGGGTTATTGTGTGTAGATTGTTGAGGGGGAAAAAATTATTTAATCAATTTTAGAATAAGGCTGTAATGTAACAAAATGTGGAAAAAGTCAAGGGGTCTGAATACTTTCAGGAATACACTGTATATCCTTGAATATGGTAACTGTAGGCAGGGGCCAAAGGTGTGAAGAAATTAACTGAATATAAAAATAATATGATAATTTATCCAAAGCAAATCATAGAACTGTGAACATTAAAATTAACATTAACAGATTAACTTTTCTTGAAAGTTAAAGTCATTCTGATTGCAAATCAACAGCAGAGTGTATCATCAAACAACAACATAATAGGTTGTCTAATAGATGCATTACCAAGCCAAGAAACACTATTTTGCTGACTCACTGAACAAGCCTGTTGTGGCCAGCCAGACTAACAACTGCAACAGTCGAACTCCTTGTCCCCCGTGAACTGAGTAATAAAGCTCTTAGCAACAGGGGGAGATGAGAGGGCATTTTAACAGGCCCCATAACCACCCTTCATTGGGTCTCAGTCTGACTAGAGCCACTCTCTTCAACAGTGATAAGGTCTATCTCTGCTTTCATCTGAGGGAAGAAAACACCAGGATGCTCTTGGAGAGTGGCAAAAGTGTTGCTCAGAGAGAGAACAGTTACGCACGTAAAAAAGTAAAGAAAATACATTTGCTGGAAGAGCAGGGAATGGTCGGAATGGTTAACACCTCCTGTGGTGAACAATTATCCTTGCTTGGCTGCCCCCCAGGCCATTTTGGCCTTTTCTATTTCTTGACCATTACCACTGCCATTAACTGACATCTCCTTGCCAAAACACCCTAGAATCTGGAAGCCTCAGTATGTCTTTAGAAATATAAGACAAACCCCCAGAGCACAAATCTCTATAATGTTCCCTTCCAAGCTCAGAGGAGGCATAGAATGAGAATGTCATACAATGTCTCACTTTCAGTCTCAACTGACGGAAAGAGGTGGTCACATGACTCACTCCCTGGTGTGTTCTGGTGTGCTCTCTCTCTCTCTCTTCTCTCTCTCTCTCTCTCTCTCTCTCCTCTCTCTCCGTCTCTCTCTCCTCCTCTCCTCTCACTCGCTCTCTCTCTCTCCTCCTCGTCATCCTCTCTCTTCCTCTCGCTCTTCTCTCCTCTCTCATCCTCCTCTCTCTCCTCTCTCTCTCTAACTAATCCACACCCATTGTGCATGGCAGGACCATTCCTCAGACACCGCAGTCCGCCCCCTTCCCCAACTAATTGAAAGAGCAGTATGTCTTAAATCTAGCCTCTGTTATTTAATCAAACGAGGCAAATGCAGCGGTTGCAGAGCAGAAGACCTAAAAGTCTACCCGCCTGCCTGTCCGTGTGATGCATTGAATGTCTGCAGAAAGGGCAGTTTACCATCTTGGAACATGTTGCTGGTTGTGAGGGCTGTCCTGACTCCTGTCTGGGCAGAGAGACAGAGAGAGAGAGACAGAGACATAGAGAGAGAGAGAGAGAGAAGAGAGAGAGAGATAGAGAGAGAATAGACGAGAGAGATACTATATCGAGTTATGATATCTCTCGAGTCTTAATGGCGAGAAGAAGAAATTCTCTCTTATCTCTCTCGCTCTCCTCTCGCCTCTTCTCGTATCTCTCTCTCCCTCTCCCTTTTTTTCCCTCCCCACCCCTCCTCATGTTTATTTTTTTCCTTTTTTGTACTTTAACTATTTGCACATCGTTATAACACTGTTATAACATAATATGACATTGAAATGTCTTATTATTTGGAACTTTTGTGAGTGTAATGTTTACTGTACATTTTTTATTGTTAATTTCACTTATGTTTATTATCTATTTCACTTGCTTTGGCAATGTAAACATATGTTTCCCATGCCAATAAAGCCCTTAAATTGAATTGAATTGATTTGAGAGAGAGAGAGAGAGAGAGAGAGAGAGAGAGAGAGAGAGAGAGAGAGAGAGAGAGAGAGAGAGAGAGAGAGAGAGAGATTGAACCCAGTTATAGAACACATTGTCCTCTATGGTTGTGAGGTATGGGGTCCACTCACCAACCAAGAATTCACAAAATGGGACAAACACCCAATTGAGATTCTGCATGCAGAATTCTGCAAAAAAATACTTTGTATACAACACAAAACCTAAAAAAAATGCATGCAGAGCAGAATTAGGACTATACGCGCTAGTTATCAAAATCCAGAAAAATGTGTTTAATTTTTAAACCACTTAAAAGGAAGCGATGCCCACACATTCCCCCAGGAAGCCCTCACCTACAGAGAGATGAACCCAGCTGGTTCTGGGGCTCTGTTCACAAACACAGACCCCACAGAGCCCCAGGACAGCAACACAATTACAACCAACCAAATTATGAGAAAGCAAAAAGATTTCACACAGAATTAACAAAAAAACTGAGCTAATTGGAATGCTATCTGGCCCTAAACAGAGAGTACACAGTGGCAGAATACCTCACCACTGTGACTGACCCAAAATTAAGATATTCCTTGACCATAGGCAGACCTGGCTCTCTAGAGAAGACAGGATATGTGCCCACTGTCCACAAAATGAGGTAGAAACTGAGCTGCACTTCCTAACCTCCTGCCAAAAGTATGACCACATTAGAAACACATATTTCCCACAGATCACCAGTGGTGCACAAACAACATTATACAGTAAATACCGGCAATACATATATGTTTATTTATCTTCCCTCACTATTCGTACTACATTAAATATGTATTTTTTCTCATTAATCTACACACAATAACCCATAATGACAAAGCGAAAACAGTTTTTTTGTTGAAATTTTAGCAAATGTATTAAAAATAAAAAACAGAAATACCTTATTTATATTAGAATTCAGACCCTTTGCTATGAGACTCAAAATTGAGCTCAGGTACATCAGGTTTCCATTGATCACCTGTCTATATAAGGTCCCACAGTTGACAGTGCATGTCAGAGCAAAACCAAGCCATGAGGTCGAAGGAATTGTCCGTAGAGCTTCTAGACAGGGTTGTGTTGAGGCACAGATCTGGGGAAGGGTCCAAAAACATGTCTGCAGCATTAAAGGTCCACAAGAACACAGTGGCCTCCATCATTCTTAAATGGAAGAAGTTTGGAACCACAAAAACTCTTCCTAGAGCTGGCCGCCCGGCCAAACTGAGCAATCGGTGGAGAAGGGCCTTGGTCAGGGAGGTGACCAAGAACACGATGGTCAGAGCTCCAGAGTTCCTCTGTGGAGATGGGAGAACCTTACAGAAGAACAACTATCTCTGCAGCACTCCACCAATCAGGTCTTAATGGTAGAGTGGCCAGACAGAAGCCAATCCTCAGTAAAAGGCACATGACAGCCCGCTTGGAGTTTGCCAAAAGGCACCTAAAGGACTCTCAGACCATGAGAAACAAGATTCAATGGTCTGATGAAACCAAGATTGAACTCTTTGGCCTGAATGACAAGCATCATGTCTGGAGGAAACCTGGCACCATCCCTAAGGTGAAGCGTGGTGGTGGCAGCATCATGCTGTGGGGATGTTTTTCAGCGGCAGGGACTAGGAGACTAGTCAGGATCGAGGGAAAGATGAACGGAGCAAAGTACAGAGAGATCCTTGATGAAAACCTGCTCCAGAGCGCTCAGGAACTCAGACTGGGGCGAAGGTTCACCTTCCAACAGGACAACGACCCTAAGCACACAGCCAAGACAACGCAGGAGTGGCTTCGGGACAAGTCTCTGAATGTCCTTGAGTGGCCCAGCCAGAGCCCGGACTTGAACCCGATCTAACATCTCTGGAGAGACCTGAAAATAGCTGTGCAGCGACGCTCCCCATCCAACCTGACAGCTTGAGAGGATCTGCAGAGAAGAATGGGAGAAACTCCCCAAATACAGGTGTGCCAAGCTTGTAGCGTCATACCCACGAAGACTCGAGGCTGTAATTGCTGCCAAAGGTGCTTTAGCAAAGTACTGAGTAAAGGGTCTGCATGTGATATTTCCGTTTTTTGTTTTTAATAACTTTGCTAAAATTTCTAAAAACCTGTTGTACTTTGTCATTATGAGGTATTGTGTGTCAATTGATGAGTGAAAAAACAATTTAATCAATTTTAGAATAAGGCTGTAACGTAACAAGATGTGGAAAAACTCAAGGGGTCTGAATACTTTCCAAATGCACTGTAGCTGATAATATAACACTTCAAATGTCTTTATCTTTTTGAAACATTTTTGAGTGAAATGTTTACTGTTAATTTCTAATAGTTTTTTGTTGATGTTAAATGTATTTCTTCTCACTTTTGCTTATTGTTATTGTTCATTGCTTTGGCAATGTAAACATATGTTTCCCATGCAAATAGAGCCCCATTGAATTTAATGGAGAGAGAGAGAGAGAGAGAGAGAGAGAGAGAGAGAGAGAGAGAGAGAGAGAGAGAGAGAGAGAAAGAGAGAACATGGCTGGCCCATGTCTAGACTCCTCATGTAAACACTGCTTAATGAGCCCAGTGGAGCTCTAGTCCCTCAGCCCACAGCAAAGGCCTCTCAGAGACAGACCCAGACATCGCAGCAGCACAGTCCACTTCCATGGGTCACATCCTTTATCTAACACATTTCAGTCAGTTTACCCTATTGTCATCAAATTACCTTATACTGTAAGTGCTTAAAAATGTGATTATTTCTAATTTGACTAACGGTCTGAATAGCCTGTAGCAATGCATTTGTTGCCTATATTATAACATTCGATTTGCAGGTACGTATTTAGCTGACTGAGGTTGAGTTGAAACAAATGTGTGAATAAGTGATTAATGTACATGGACGGTTTATAACCTGATCCTATGGGACCATCTTCAGATCTTCAGTCAGTCCACCCCGACCCATACCTAATGGAGTGATACCTCACCCTGACCCTTGACCCTTGACCCTCTCCCGTGTAGCATGGAAGCTGAAAAAAGGAGCGCTGATAGTTGTTGGGGGGGGGCTCAATGTATACACCCTCATAGTGTAAAGCGTGAAACACACCGAGAATCTCACTTCCAATAGGTACTTATCATTGTGGGAGGCCGTTCCTTCTCTTGCTAGAACAAAAGCGGTACCTGCTGTGTGCCGGCCCGGAGTGCCGAACCTATCTATTCTACTTGTAGAATCGCAATGCTCATCGGTGGCCAACAACTTGACTTTGAGCCGATCAGAGAGCATAAACCCCCACGTGGGGGAGCCAACAACAACAAAAAAGGAAAAAAGAGGGCATTTTGTTCGTACATCCACGGATGAGCCAGTCAGACTTCATATGCAATGTAGGCTATGGGAAGGTAGCGAGCTAAGTGCACAGACACAATGCACACAACACTAAATACTGCCTCCAAGCTAGCTAACCACTGTAGCTAGTATTGACATGATAATTAAATCACAATGGATTAGCTAGTTTGAAGTAGTTTCCATGAAACAGCTGCCTGTGTTAGCTGCCGAGTTAGTGCTACGCAGACGACACACAACTAATCTTCTCCTTTCCCCCTTCTGATAACCAGGTGGCGAATCGCATCTCTGCATGTCTGGCAAGACATATCAGTGTGGATGACGGATCACCACCTCAAGCTGAACCTCGGCAAGACGGAGCTGCTCTTCCTCCCGGGGAAGGACTGCCCGTTCCATGATCTCGCCATCACGGTTGACAACTCTGTTGTGTCCTCCTCCCAGAGTGCAAAGAGCCTTGGTGTGACCCTGGACAACACCCTGTCGTTCTCCGCTAACATCAAGGCGGTGACCCGATCCTGTAGGTTCATGCTCTACAACATTCGGAGAGTACGACCCTGCCTTACACAGGAAGCGGCACAGGTCCTAATCCAGGCACTTGTCATCTCCCGTCTGGATTACTGCAACTCGCTGTTGGCTGGGCTCCCTGCCTGTGCCATTAAACCCCTACAACTCATCCAGAAAGCCGCAGCCCATCTGGTGTTCAACCTTCCCAAGTTCTCTCACGTCACCCCGCTCCTCCGCACACTCCACTGGCTTCCAGTTGAAGCTCGCATCTGCTACAAGACCATGGTGCTTGCCTACGGAGCTGTGAGGGGAACGGCACCTCCGTACCTTCAGGCTCTCATCAGTCCCTACACCCAAACGAGGGCATTGCGTTCATCCAACTCTGGCCTGCTGGCCCCCCTGCCTACGACGCCAGGACAGCGGAGTCACTCACCACCTTCCGGAGACACTTGAAACCCCACCTCTTTAAGGAATACCT